AAAAATAAACATGTTGCTATTGTATTATTCCCTAAAGTTTGTTGCAGAAAATGTTTCAATGTCAAGCAATTCCATGAAAATATCTGTTTTAAGACATTTTGCATTTGGTTATTGTATTCCACAAAAATGCACAAAAAAGTATATTTTGGTTCTTGAGCTGTTATATTGTGGAATTGTTAATTTAATACCTAATACTGATTGAGGTTATGAAGGAAAAGTTCCAGGGTCACAGAATTTGGTTAACTGTTAAAGTCTGTGCTACTGGTTCATTGCAGAGAGTATTCCCAGCGCAAGATTGTCAATATCTTCAGGCAGTCTTAACGCCAAACAATTTATTGCATAATAGAATACTTAAAATAATAAGCATTTACTTAAAGCTGCTTTTTTACCTTTTGTGTTTAGTTACCCAACCAGATAGGGAGAATCAGAAGACGTATGTATTTTAGTTGCTTAGCTTTCTTTTCCACATTTCTCTGCTGTGTAGAAAGGCATTCTGAATTCTCAAATCAAGTTAAGTCTCTCTCCTCTTTCCTCAGATAATCTGCTCAGTTTTATAGATGGACATACATATTGTGTGAACATATAGATTGACCATGCTACTTAYACTAAACTCCTACTGATGGTTCAAGAAACAAATTCCTTAGCATGAAATTATTATTCAGAGAAATTATTTCTATAAAAATTTACAGGAAATAAGCCAATTCCCCTTAACATTTTGCAAACCCCTTTGGACATCTCATTCAGACCCCCCAAACAGGGTATCCTTCTGATGCTGGAGTTCCGTGGAGGGTCAGCTTCTCTCTGGAGTGTCTGAGTGGTTGCTGCTTGTAAGAATGATTGACTTTGCAAGATTCATGGTATATCTGACAAGCACTCATAAGAGCATGAGTTAGTCTTAACGTCAGCCTAGAACCTGTGTGAACTCTTGGGCTCAAAATGACAATATACTTTGACTCTTTTTTTATTTTCCTTAAGATTTAAGTAAAATTAATATAATCTTCTTTATATATACATATATAAAAATTAAAAATAGCATATATAGATAAAAAATCCTCATATATATAAGCAAGACTGCAGTGGCTCAATGACTCAGTGTCTTGCTTTTAGTCTGCAAAATCTGTTCTGGCAATACAAAGATAGTAGACCCCTAAGATACTGGTCTGAGAATGTGAGGATGTCTGATAGCAATTTCCAGGCCAAAGCATGGTGGCCTTACTAAATTAGTGGAGTAGTGGATAGTGTGTCCTTACTAAAGCATCTTTAGCTTGGCGAGACCAATGGAGACAAGTTATTCATAATGCAAAGCTGTTAATGTTCTTCGTAGCGTTGGTGTACATACACAGCATCCTCTTTTTGCCTTCCTGTTGACTGTCTTTTCTAGCAATAGGCAGCATGTCTCAATCCTGTTGACCCTTGACAGTCTGTCAGTTAAGCATAGCCACTCAGTCAAACTGTTGTCTTCCTTTTGACTCCTTGTTAGCTGTGTCAGAGTCCAGCTGCTGCACTTTGGGAATCTGCTTTGTGGAAGGTGAAGTGTCCTGCTCCATCAGTATTTTGGTTTACTTCTCATCAGATGAGTCACAGAATCACAGAGTGGTTGAGGTTGGAAGGGGCCTCTAGAGATCATCTAGTCCAACCCCGCTACTCCAGCAGGGACACCCAGAGCACGGGGCACAGGGCGGCATCCAGGTGGGTTTGGAAGATCTCCAGAGAAGGAGACTCTACAACCTCTCTGCGCAGCCTGTGCCAGGGCTCTGGCACCCTCCCAGGGAAGAAGTTCCTCCTCACATGGAGATGGAACTGCCTGGGTTTCATCTTGTACCTGTTGCCCCTTATTCTGTCTGTCATGGTTGCTGAGGCAGCTGGACATTGGAATGGTAGGTATCACTTCCTGCTTCTTTCCTTGTTACTTCTGCTTCTATTGACCTGGGTTTATAGGTTTTTTTTTTTTTTTTTTGCCTCTGCAAAATGATTGTAGTCCTTGAAATGACTGTAAAATTTATCAAAATGTAGTAGAGTGGTGCTAAGCTAAGAATGAATGTTTATTGTTGGAGGAGGTAAAGACAATTTTTAAAAAGGAATAGTGTTAACACATAGTTCTGAATAACAAGGTTTTTCAGTTCTTTCCTGACTGGCTTAGTGAGCATCCTTGCAACTGGCTAAGAAATGTTGCCGTGGGATGCTACAGCATCTCTTGCAGACATTAGCAAGCTCTTTTTCTTCTCTGTATGCTGTGTAAGGGCTGGGTGCTATTTTGATCAGTTCATTTTTCTGCGTACAACATGAAAAGACTTTCAGTGTTTTATATTCTGGTAGGATTGATACCCAAAGGTTGTTAGAGTTGTGTAAATGTTCATATTCGATCACCTGCTTTCACTTGCTTGTAAGTTTTTTGGAACCCATTTTTGAGCTTGACATTTCCTAGACTCGAAATCTGCTTGAAGAAAATTTTATGTAAATATTGAGTAAAAATGTTTCAACAACTTTTTTTTTGTTCTAAGAGGGTGAGAGAAATGTACTTCTCAAAAAAAAAAAAAAAAAAAAAAAGGCAAAAACCCACCATTATCATAGCTAAAATGTGAGGTTGGATGTTGAAATTCAGTATGAACATAAACCTTAATTGAGAAGAAATCCCTTAAGATATTTTGAATAAATTTGTTTCATTGACTAAACTGTGTTCTAGAAGAACTGGAACTGGACTTGATGGAGGAATTGATGAAATTGTACAGTTCTAGTACAGGTCTGATAAGACAATTAGTAGACGCTTCTGGTCTTAAACATATGAATTGCAAGCTTTTCAAAACTTCCTTTTAAGCACTTTATGCAAATTTTGTTCTTACTTCCTCAATAGTGCAGTAAATAACAGTTATGGTGAAAAGTTGACTTGTATTGGGTATGGACTAAGGCAAAAGCACAGCAGGAGAGACCTTGGTTGCTCCATAAGCAGCTTGCAACAGCTGTATAGGAGTTGGGTAGGCTTGTTATGTGTGTTTTAGGAGGAGTTGTTTTGCGGCAGAAGAAAGCATAATGTTTATTAACCTTTTATTACTAAAGATCTTCTGTGGAAGATGCATCTTCATATGATTTATCCAGAACTGAAGATGAGTAAAGGATGTGTTAAATGGTGAGGCAAAGGGAACTCTACTCAAATAAGCAGCGTACTTTGGAGTTTTCTCTTTGCTTGGAAAGGTCTTGAAGAGTCAGATGTGTAGTTTTCTCTTTGGTTTTAAGATTCTTAAGAGATTCCTTTAAAAAAATAGTATCGTGGATGAGACCCAAAATTTGGAAATGCTTGAATTGCTGAAATACTTAAAATGCTCAAACAGCTGTGATGCATGTTCTTTGGAGCTTTGTACTGCATTACAGTCTACAATTCCATAATCAAATATTGTTTCTCAAATAATACAATATTGGGTCATGCAGCCTCTCTTGCTGAAGCTTAGACACACATCTTACAACTCTCTGTGCTGCTTTATATAACAAACAGTTCATAAATCTCAGTATAAAAGAGTATAGTATATGCTGTTTATTTAAAGGTGTATTTAAGTTTTACAGTGTAGGTTCTCTGATATAGACATAGTTATAGACCTTTGAAATTAGCAGGATATTTAGTATTGTGGTGAACTGAATTTATTCCCAAGTATCATGTGAGGTGCCTATGCTGCTGCATAAACTGAAAGTGTATAGTAGATGAGTGATGACAATGTATTAAAATGCATAATTTTAATGATACAGGAGCTTACATGAACAGTCAGGACTGGTGAGGAGGAACTGGGGCAGTGTAACATTGAATTTGCTGTCTAAGTAGCCTACAGGGACGAAATGAATTTCAAAGAAATCAAGAAATTGTATTGTTTGAGAAAAGTATTATGTGTGTTAGCTCAAGTGTATTGCAGTACACACAAGGGGACAGCATAAGTTTCACATGTACCCTTATCTCTAGTGTACCATGTCTGCTGGTTACATAACTCTGTAACTGTAATTTTTTTTGAACACAAATTTATTTTACATGTAGCTCTCTCTTTTTACTGCCCTTCTGAGTCTTTCTCTTGTATTTTTCTAGGGATTTGCTATTTAAAAGACTGTGTAGCAAAAAATACTAGAAGGGTGGTGGATTCAAGAAAGAAGCCTAAATCTAAACGTGACTAAAAGAAGTCACGTTTAGTGACCTCACAAGAAGAGCATTCAGTCTTGCTATTCAGGTTACTGTAACTGACTCGGATTATAATTTATTGTAAGAAAGTATATGTGACTGCAAATATTTTTGCCTCTGCAGCTATATTTTTGTATCATCTGTTCAAATCACTTCAATCTCTGTTGAAATTTACAGATGAGAAATACAGACTAAGAATTGATTGAGGATACAAAAAATAAAAGTTGTATATTAGCCATTCATCACACTTGCAATATGAAAGTATTAAGCAATATGAAAGTATTAATGCAAGCTAGTACTAAGCTTGCGTTAGATAACTTGTATTATATTTTGCTTTTTTTTTCCTCTAAAATGTGGTAGAATGTTTAAGTCATGTTGCAAATTGTATTGCTAATGGTCCCATAATCAACAGTGTAAGCATGGAAGTTATTACTTTAGTTGTTCCATTCATTTATCCTTACGCTGTTGTAATGAAATGGTCCTTCTTTCCATCATGGGAGAAAGTTTAGTGTGGTAGGCAGTATAGTTGTTTGTTTGTTTGTTCTTTTTACATCTTCTGAAGACTTAGAGAAGAATAAATGTGTTTGATTTCATAAGGAAAATGAATTCCTTGTGTCGCATGGAACTCCTAAGCTATATTTTTATAAGAAAATCTTTTTAGCCAAAAATGATTGAGTAGCTGTTACGTTTGGTTGAGTAGCTCTCCAAATGCTCCCTTTTTTAGAATCTATCCTGACCAGAGGATGACTAGAGAAGAAAACGGACAAATGTGTGTTCTGTGTTCATGAGTTAAAATCAGATCTGAGAATCTTTGTGGTTACACTTTTCTTCTTCTTGTCACTTGCAGGCAGAAATCGTCAAAAGGCTGAATGCTATATGTGCGCAAGTCATTCCCTTCCTGTCCCAAGAGGTAAGATAGTAGCTTGAATTGGTAATCACCTAAACTTATCACAGCTGTTACAAAAGCATGACTATCTATTGAAATTGTTTCCTTATGAATCTCTTGGTGCTTGTAGATGGCTTTCCATGTACTGTTCTCGTTATAGCCTCATTATGTTCTCCAGGTCCACCATAATATTATTTAAATGTATTTATGTAATGGAACGCATTTTGTAATATGCTAAGCAAAATGTTAGTTGTTTCAATATTTTGCTCTCATATGCAAATACAGTGTTCCTCAGAATTATCATTGATGAATATGGAATCAGAGGACAGCTTGCAGAAATGCTAGAAAGGCACAACTTGTTCTAAATTCTTAGCAGTGGGCTTTAAACTTCAGGAGAAACTTCTGTGTTATTTTGTTGAGCTGTGATGCAGCCCTTTTTCCCATTTTTTCCCCCTGTATGTCCATCCCAGATTGTGTACTACCTTAAATCCCTATAAGTTTCCTGTGTTTCTGGGGAAAATAGAAAATTAAATCTTGCTATGGGCTAATTTCTCTTAAGCACTCTTTCTTTTTTTTTTTTTTTTCAAAATTATTGTATCCTGAGAGCACTGTAGATGCTTTGAGGGATCTGGGTTTGGGGGGGTTGATTGGTGCTGGGTGAGAGAACCTTCTCACAGATGGGTGCAAAGTAAAATAAAAATGTGAAGTGGAATTTAAGACCTGCCTGAATCTGAAATGATCTGTTGATTTTGTACTTTGACTGCTACAGAAACATAATTCATGCAGKTATTGGGGCTTTTTGTTGCTCTTCAGAAATATTACACAGCATATAAAAATGAAGTGTAAAACTGATTCATACCCATGTGTACTAAATGACACAATTTTGAAACAAAGGCAGGAGTGAGTGCTTGGCAGGCAAAGCTGTGATCTTAGCAAAGACGTAGGATTGGCATTTCCATGGCAGTGACATCTTTTCTGGAGTATTTAGAAAGTTGGCACCACTTTACTGCTACTGATAACTATACTGGTATTTTTTTCAGCTGAAATCCTGCAGTAATCTTCATTTCAGTACACAGCTCAGTTTTATTTTCTTATTTTTATTTTTGGAATGTTTTATTTTTTGAATAATTTTAATTGTGGAATTAAAAATGAAGATAGTAAGTTTGGAGATTTTTAATGGTGTCTGAATCAGATAAATTCAGATACTTTTTTTTTTTCTTTTCCTCTTCTGTATGTGTTTTGCTCTGGAGGTGTATGACCCTAGAGTTATTCTCCTGAAAGCTAACATTGGTACATTTTAAGTGCCTTCATTGAAGGCAGGAGCCAGTGTGAAGGCTGCACACTCTATTTCTTAATTTTTGTTCAGTCAAGGAGAATCTCTTTTGTGGGGTTCTCATTCAGGAACTAGCAAACTGTGAGCCATCCTGTGAGCCAATGGCCCTGACTACTGCTTAACAATCTTCTGACCATGAAGCTAGAAATGGGGAGCAATTTAAAAATAATTATGAACCTAACCTTTTCAGTAGATTTTCATTAATATGCTTGTTTAAAGAACTATGTAGATAGACAACTGAGACAATCCAGATGTAAATTTACAAAATGAAGATGATGCCCCCCTTCTGTTACTGGTACAGTGCCATCCAGGGAGGCCTCACAGGACTCATGCCCACCAAATTGTGTGTTTAATGACTGCTGTTTACTTTGTTAAGCCTTTAGATTACACCTTGGAATTAAGCAGTTTTAGATCTTGAAATGAGCTCTTGCGTGATTGCTGTGCTGGAGGATGCCCCCTGCTTTATAAAACCTTTGCCTGATGTTTTCTTCACCTGTTCACACGCATCTTACTCTTTGGGGTTTACTAAGTGTTGTAGCTTCTTCTGTGTGCGTGCTGTCATAGTGTAAAAGTTCTTTAGGCTACAGAGGAAATGGAGGGTTCAAAAAGAGTTCACAACTTCAGCATTTTTGTGTGTGTTTGCAAAGAGAACAGGGAACATTTCCAAAAAGTCAGTGAATGCGTTTGTCTCCCTTGGAGGCAAGTGTATTTTTTAGCTTATCTAGCAAGAGGGGAGAGGGGACAGATGGAAAAAAATAAAGAATAAATCTTTATAAATATAAAATCTAAATAGCAAATATAAATATAAAGAATACATAAAGAATAAATGCCATTTACAGTAGTTTTCTCATTGGGGATAAGAAAATTGTGGCAATTGTTTGGCCTTTATTAGCATCAACAGTTAAATCAGGTTGAGGTGACTGAGGCAAAAGAGAACTGATTTCCAGTTTTGAGTATTATGCTTGTATTTTTAATATACTTTTTTTATCTTCAAAAAGTAAGTGCATTAATGGAAGCCACTTTATTTCATCATCCAGGTTAATGGAGAACTGAATTGCAGCATGCTTTTGCTGTTTACGCATTTTGCATGCAGCCTAATTGTGGAATAATGGCTGAAAAATGTGCTCGGGCTCCTTTRTATTGTGCCTGAGGGAAAAATGAACAAAATACAGCGGTTACATGCACTGATGGCAACATTATTACCTCATAATAGCACCAGGTTAACTTGTCTTATTGCTTGTTAACTTTGTAAGGAATCAATGGCTTGTGATAACTGACTCAGATGTAAGAAACTGTGGCCAAAATCACTTGAGATCTCAAAAAGATTGCAATTATAATATATCACTATATCCTACATGCTTTGTTTCTGGGGCAATTCAAAAAGTATTTAGGAAGTTCTCTGCAAGCAGGGCCTCACTTAGTTTTACTGTGCCATCCATTTCCAAGGTTTTATGCTAAAAATAAAGCTTCTGACCTGCCAAAATACACAGTTAAACAGTACTTTTTTGTTGTTGTTGACTGTAATTGGGGAGGTGGAGGGGATGCGGGGAAAACACGACTATTAAGAGATTTTGAAAGTAAAAAGGCAGAGAGAGATAGAGACCCTAAAAAATCCAAGCTGCCAAATTTGATACGAAGGAATGACTTTGTGGTCAAGGCGTGAGAAAGCCCTTAGGGCTGACCTGTGTTCAATTTCTGTCACTGTTGCAGACTTTCTGCGTTGCAGCAATATTTTTCACCCGTGTGCAATGTTGTGAGATATCAGCATGCTTGAAGTGCTCCCTGTTATATAGGAGCTAGGGGATTTCCACAAGCCTCTAGGTAAATACTTAGAGGTAGTTAGCGCTCAGTTAATTTATTTTCAGTCTTCTGAATGTAGTGTAGGCAATGTAACATAGATAGCTGGTATAGATACAGAGGGCTCATCTCATCTAGTTATTCAGCATGTGACACAAAATTCCATATGGGCCTAAGGTTGTGGATTATGGCTCTACTGGTTTTTCTTATATCTCATCTGAGTTTATCAGCTGCAGCAAACTGCGACACTCATGTCACAGAGCTTGAGTTGAGACCATTTCCCACTTGGCCAAAGTTGCATTTTCTGGGTAGGTGCAAACTGGCTCTCTTTGACCCTGCTGGCATGTCTGGAGTGCCAAAAGAGCCTAGGTACTTCCAGTGCCTGGTAGTCATGCTTGTTTGGTGTGACCAGAGAAGTTCATCTGTCACAGCTACCTTCTTTTCAGTAAATATTGACTGTGTTTATGCTCGGGCAGACATACACAAGCTGGCTGATGTAGAGCTGTGGTTGTGGCAGCCTGGAGCTCAGCACAAGCTGCTTGAGCAGCCAGTTAACTCTTCATGGGATCATTCCAGGGCAACCTCCATGCCCCACTGTGTTAGGCAGGGCAGGAGAGTGTGTGCACACATGCATTCCCTCTCTCCTTCCCCAGGGGAAGCTTCTTTTAAAATACACCGTTCAGGCTTTTCCTTGGAAACACTGAATATTGGTGGATGATTTTTGTTCTGCAAGATAAATACAGACTGTAAGACTTTCCTCCTCCTGTGCATGCACATTCCCTAAAGATGCTTGTACAGTTCAGTAGCTTTGGAGGAAGGGTATGAGATACGTCTGTAGAAGCAGAGCACGACTCATTCCATGTTGTTCAAAAAGATGTGAGAGGCTGAAAAGACCTGAAAAAAATACACTTCCTCTGTCTTCAGTTTTCCTGAGGCTACGTCTAAAGCGGTACATACAAGGAAACGGTCAGAGATTTATAATCCTTCTACCATGGAAAGTGTCTTACTAGCAATTTATGTATATATTGCTAGTACCTTTCTTACTGTTCTTTATAAAGTGGTTATTACATGTTGTCTGAGTTGCAGTGCCGCAATTCAGTGACCCTGCTGGTCCTTTTTAGTTTTCTAAGTGTGTGCTGTATTCCTCTGTAAATGTGTTTTTGCTCTCCGATTCTCACTGGTGTTTTTGGCACTGCTTCACTTTATTATGCTGTCTCTAAATCATGCTTTTCAAAATGATACTACTGCAGTTCCTAAGAAAGACCTGGTCTGTACTCCCTCTAAACAGATAATGCAACAACAAAATAGTATGAATAAAACATAGCAAAACCTCCTTGTTTCTGCAGTGTGAATTTAGCGAGTTTTTCTTTGGATCTTATTATTGGCACTGGAGAAGGGCTGAAATTAGATGTTTTTAGCACCAGCTTCTCTGAATGTGTGTGCCAGAGGGATTTCCACTGTTCAGTTGTTGTCAGCAAAGTCACTGTAGTCACTGGAAATGGCAGGGAGCTCTGAAATAGTGTAAAAAGCACAGGTATTTTCCACCACGCCGCAAAGTGTCTGTTGGAGACAGAGCTAGGCGATAGACAGTATGGTGAAATGAAGTGATGGTCAAAGCACCTACATCCTTCTTGCAGTCTCTGCTGTAGCCAAGCACCGTGTGACTGAAAGGAAGGTATTTCCAGTGCAAAGAGAGTGCAGACACTGCTTATTGCAAAGAGAGAGGGGAAAAAATGATTAAGGTAGATATAAGGAAGTAAGAAAGGAGAAACAATACAAGGCTATTTGTCAGCAGGGCGGGGTGTTGAGCTCATTGTTGAAGCCTGTTTGATGCAGTGCAAAATACTCTTTTCTTGTATATGAAGAATATTGGTTTGTGTCTTCTGTGTGTAAGAAGGAAGGTTAACGTCAAAGTGTGTTGAATACCTCAAACCTGTGCTTGCATGCTTTCATGTGGGTGGAAAAAAAGTATTTTTTCCCAGTTTTTATTTGACTATAAATCTGTCCTTAATCACTGCTGGACGGGCTGTTGAATGCTGTTTGTTTTTTAACATAATGTTTTTTCTTATTGTACATTTGCAGAAGAAGATATTTAAGCATAAATTGAGAAGAAATCAATTCTTTTATATATATGTGGTTTAGGATAACCAGCTGATCCTATTTTTTGTTGTTTTTGATTATGCTGTGTGCTCGAGGCTTTATCATGTACCCCCTTCTTTGCCCTGAGTATGCTCTACCACATAATTGGAACTGTGATTAATAAAATGAAGCCCCTTTGAACTTAAAAAAAGGTTCAAATGAGTGCTGTGGTGCTTACCACTGAAAAGGTGCAAAGGTAGCCATGAAATTGCTTTGGAAGCTTGTATTTTCTGCTGCCACATTCCATCCCTTAAAACTGGAAAGGRAGAAGGAGACAATACCTAGTTGAGCAGTGTTATTATACACTTACTTTAATGCAATAGTATGGATTATTTGCCTGTGCAACTGGAGGTCATTYGGAGCAGACCCTCTTTGGGGTTTCAGGAGACTTCTGATGGAGCCTGCTTGAATCCTGCTGCAGTGCTGAGATGAAAATGACAAAGAGGCTAGTTACAGACTATCTGTTTTGGTTGCTTGTTCATACTGTGATCCTGAAGATTAAATTGATGCTAGGGCAGCTGGCAATAGTAGAGTTTTGATTGTCTCCATCACCCTTAAAACGGATGATTGCCATGAGGCCCACGGGCTTTTCCTCCTGTGAAGGCTCGACCTCAAACCTGTTAGAATCAATGAAAGATGTCTCATGGCTGCTTAGGGAATTTGTGTCTTATTACATTTGTTCAGATTCTGTTTATAAATCATATATAAAAAAAAGTCCAAAAGTGCAATTTYTGAGTACTCTATCCTTGCACTTTTTCCTCCCTCCTGGAAGAAAATATTTTTCCTGAATATTCCTTGGAACTATCCTTTGTATGTATTTTGAAAAAGAAAGAAGAGCATTTAAACTGTTGTGGAGTTATTTTTCCCAAATTTGAATGAAAATTTAAGTTATTTTTACAGTTGTTTTGTTCTCAGGTCAGCTTTCAGTAGGTTTCTAAAGAATTTCTTTTCCTTCTGACCATGGTCCTAGGAACACTGTTTAAATAAGTGAGTGCTGGAACTGGAATAAAAAATGCTTTTAACTATTAAGAAATAGTTTCTTTTCTTTATCTCAATGTAGAAAGCATGTCTAGGAAATGGTAGGGAAAACTCTGGGTCAGTGAAATTAAAAAAGAATTTTCTTCTTCTTGGAGTGGCACAATCAAAAAATGTTATGACCTATTTTTTGGTGTAATTTACTTCCACCAGAAAATGCTGTGGCTTTTGATTGCCTTCTTGCCACTTAGTGTGTCACAGGTAGGGCTTTCAGCTACATAATGATGCAGGCTGCGCTTGTCCCTATTGTGTGATGACCTGGAGATGATAACACGTGATCRGAAACTTGAGGTTTGAGTATTGTAAATTCCTTTCACTATCAAGGATAACCAGTGAAAAAAAACAACTCCTTTTTTTTTTCCCCCCCAAATGCCAAGAGCACATTTGCTCATATTCAGCCTGCATTTTGTTCTTTGCATTGGCTGCTTATAAGTGACAGATTTGGTTTACTTTAGCACTGTTGCTTTAGAAAAGTTAAATGGGACTGCTGTGATTCTGTTTGCAACAGTATGTTATTTGCTCTCCTGGCATCGCCTTCATTTAATTTTTCTTTACTTAAAAACAAACAAATCTTAAAAACATTTCCTTCCTTCCAAAAGTGCTTCTAAATTACCTCCTTCTTTATTTTTCTTTATCCTTTTTTGTTGTTGTTGAGGTTAGCATTTCTGCTAGTTTAAAGATGGATTTTTTTTTAAGGCATGCTTCTCTTCACCCTGAGAGCTTTTATGGGAGAGAATTTATAAGTAAAAATGCCATTTCTATTTTGTGCATAGTGTATAATGGACCCTTTTAGTGCAGAGCAGAGGATGGCACTAAAAACTGATATATCTCAGAATGCCGGACCCCWGAGCTTGCAAGGCCCTTCCACGCTGAGCCCTTTTTTCGAGCTCCCTGTTGCTTAGAAAGCATTTCTGCTGCTCTTTAGGCACTCTGCGTTGGAGGAAATCCTGAGGATTTGGGCTCCATCCTTGTTTTATGTTGTCCCTGAAACTATGGTTTGATCTGCCAAAGGATTCCCATCCCGTGCAGGATAGGGGCGCCCCATCCCAGGGCCCTACTGATAGCTCTCACAGTTAATCGGGAGCTTTCTGCTTCCTCCATATTCTCTGTGTTGAGGGGGCCTTAACAAGATTTTCTCAGTCCTTTTCTTAACTTTGTTCCCAGGAATATCTAGACTAGCATTTCCAAATGTGGTTCAGAGCTGGCTATTTCCCTATCCACTGGAGCATGAGTTTCAGCACCTCTTACTATAGGCAAAAACTCATGCTTTAGTTTGGTCACACTTTATTTTATTCAGCCTGTGGTAATAGACAAGAAACGATTCACTCCCGGCACAGTTCATGCAACCTACTGCAGTCCTGCCTGACGTTCCCCTCGCTGCCCTGCACCAGTTTGTCTTGTGCACTCCAGATTTGTCAAGGACACTTGTGCAGATGAATTTGCTACCAGCAGCGATCTGCATGCACAGATCCTGAAGAACAGATGTGGTTGCAGGATTAGGAATTTACTTGATTTGCCGTTGATGCTTTCAACTAAATATCAATCAGTTTTCAGTGTGCAGCAATTTTGAATTGACTGCAGGAATACAGTATCACTCAAACTGAGATAATGTAACCACTGAAGCTTGTAAACTGTGTTGTTAATTAGACCATGTGGTTTTGATGGACTTTTTCTGAGCTCTTAGAATTTACATGTTGGGGATTGAAATAATTAGTTCTCTTTCACGTGTTTGACAGAATTGTGAATGGCATTTTAAATTTTCTTCCTGTGGTTGAACTGCTTTGAAAATGTACTAAGAAGAAGAATCTACGTAATGCTTCAATGATGTGGGCATCATATGGCTGCTGAAAATACATGTCTGTCTTCTTCAGTGTGCCTTTCCTTTTTTGACTCAAAGGTTTCTGTATCTGTAAGAAAAGTGACTTGTATTTTAAGGCAGCATATAAATTCAATCTCGTGATGAACAAAAGGAAGGATAGCTGGTTGTAAAACAGTCCTTTTGGGGGAAATGTTATAATTTCTGGAAAGTAATGGCATAAATAAAATCTATCCCTCATCTGCTCTGCTTGCATATCGACACAAAACTTGACTGTATGCTAGAGAACGGTTATTTCAAGCCCTGTCTGTGATTGAAAAGCAAAAAAAAAAAAAAAAAAAAAAAAAGATAGAAAAAACACTGTGCTTAATGTTTTAGAAAACAAATGATTTGATTTCTGATCTTCATTTATAGCATCAGCAACAAGTGGTGCAGGCTGTGGAACGTGCCAAGCAAGTCACCATGGCAGAGCTGAACGCAATCATTGGGGTATGTGGTCTTTCTGTTTTGCTATAATAGTGATTGTAATTAACTTTATTTTCTTTTTCTTCTTTTATGAACTTGTTTCCATCCAGTGGGTAAAATTGGTGGGCAGTGTAAAGTTCAGTAGCTCAATCTGTGTGAGCACAGGTTACTGCCTGGAATCTTGTACAGTGTGCACTGTTGCTGTGAAGACCAAAGGAGCAGTCTGTGTTGTGTGTATTCCCRCAGGCAAAGTGGGTTTCTGTCTCTTATTTTGTTGTGTCTTTTTAAGAGACATCACAACTGCTTGCCAGTCTGCTTGTGCAGCCTCTTTGACACGTAGTCTTGAAATGATGCTGTGCATCACCAAGGGTTTTTTACCTCTCAGTGCTACCCAGGCAGTGTTCTGTGTGGGAACACCAGGCGGGAACCAGGGATGATGAACTACCATGACATCTGAAAAAAAAAATTAGGTGTTTTAGAAGAGTGAAACGACTGTTTACCAGCAGAGTCATGGGTGCTGTGCTCCCAGCTGTCTAAAAACACAGGTGTGTGAAGGCCCTCTTGATTAAAAGAAAAAAAAGAGAAAAAAAAAAAAAAAGAAAAAAAGGAACAAAAACATTTGCCAGCAGTTAGGTTGGCTCAGTGTGGAAGTCCTGCAATATTTACGGATGTGGGCAGCCTTACAGTTTTCGTTTTATGACTGCAGAGGTAAGGAATAACAAGGAAGCCGTGGCTGTTCACACTACATAAAATAAAGGTGAGAAGTTGTAGCTTAATAGCACATTATTCACATGTGTAATTATGCAGCTGGTGCAAGCAGTTGTTTAAGTTATTCTAATGAAGACACTACAACTATACTTCCCTTATTCTGCACCCTCCCAAATGCTTTTTCTTTTGTGTATAGATTATACATTAAAGTCTTTTCCCTTTTTTTATTCAGTGTATCAAACACACTTTGAAATGCTAATTATTCCATTTACTTTCATTAAAATTCAAATTGCTGAGTGAAGATGTGGATAAGGGTCGCCAAATAATCAATCTGAAGTGAAGATATTGCTTCAATTATGCCTCTGTCTTTTAACAAGGAAATCAGGACTCTCTGATCATTGCTGACGGTAGAGTAGAGACATAGTCTGATTGTAGCTTGTTTTTAATAGGCTGTTTGTAACTCTATTTTGTATCCCTCTGACCACAAGAAAACACTGGTAGTCAATTAGAAGATATAAATGGAAAAGAGTAACCTTTATTTCCTCTGAAGTGCCTGATAGAAAGAAGGGGSTGAATCAGAGCGAATCGTGTAGAATCATGAATAACATTTGTTGTATGTCTTTTACGCTCCAGTGGGGAGAGTGGGAGATGAATAATTTCCCAATTAGTTTTCATTACCTAACCAAAAATATTGCCTGTTATTAACATTCTTTTCATAAAGCAAGGTGCTAAAGGATAGCTTTTTGATAAAGATGTTTTTCTATATGTGTTATGCATGTGTGTATGTAGTGTTTGGGTGTGTATGCACATACTATATTGTGTGTGTGTGTGCGTGCATGTGTGCACAGGCATGCATAAGTACACTATACAGTGCAGATGTATACATTTTTGTTATTCATCATTACATATGCGAGAGAAACTGCAAAAAGTCATTTGCCTTCTCATAAAAAAAAATGCTACTTATATACAAAGTGTGATGTTAGAAATTCTTCATCTTGCATTTGTTATTTGAAGTCTAACCTTCTTTAAATATATAGAATAAATATAAGCAGACTAGACACTTGTCTGTGAGTGTAGTATGCACTTCAGTTAGTGTTTTCCCACCAGGCAAAAGTAAACTTTCTATTTTGTCTGTTGCTGCCTGAATTATCYGTTCAATTCYATCAATTCTATCTATCCTGTTGCTTCAAATTTTTATAGTACCTGAATTTTGTGTGTGCGTTAAAAATAGGGGAATTTCTCATCTCCCACAAAAGAGTGTTTTTTAACGTGCTTTACTTCCTGTTTTTGCTCTCCTATCATATGTTGTCTTGGGCAATGCTGTGCAGGTCTGTCTTTGGTCTTGGACAAACAGGAACAATACTAACTGAAAAGTTCATCTTCATTGAGGAGAAATTAGTATGTAAGGGAAGTAATCTAATTCAATCTTTAAGAGATTTATTAGAAAAGTGAATAAATAAGATAGTGAGGTATAAAAAGAACTTACGTTGTAGTTGCATGAATACAATAAAATTGCACTTGAAGAAAGAGAAAGTTTAGAGGCAGAAAGTGTGGCCTGGACATATAGAATCTTACTATACTTTTCAAAATGAATAGCATCAACGAAAACAAAGATTTCTTATATCTCTTATTATGTTCTACTTTAAAATATTTTGCAGTTTGCTAAGTCTGATGGAGTTTGTATTCTTGCAATGATGATGATTAAATAGCTTCTAATATTCATTTGCTCATTACAGCTTTTTTTTTTTAAAAATGTATCTTTTAATCTTTGAGCTCTATTTCAGAAGAAAACAGAAGTAGTACTGTAGTTTGATGTTTCTAAAATAACTTTAGTTTTAAAATTTCTCTGCGGTTTTGGCAAGGCCTTTGCATTTTGGTTAACTCATGGTAAATCTCCTCAAGTAAAATGGAGGAGTCTTCAGTTAGAATTTAAAATGGATTTTATCAGAGTGAAATATGGCATAAGAGAAAAGAGAATGTGCACAAATCATGTCTTTCTTTGTGTCTCACATACATATTTTTATATGAATGTGGTCTGATTTAATGGAATCTGATGAAGCACCTTTTTAACTTTGCAATATTATTCTATCTTCATTGGTAAATGAACCAAATCACTGATCCATGCAGTTTAAATGCAAAATACTGAAGTGAGCATGGAACCTGGAGAGACTGCTTGTTCTCTTGACAATAAACTAGTTGTGTTTAATGGAATGAAACACAGTTATAATGACTTCTTTTACAGGTCATGTTCAGTTTAAAACTGTTGACAGACTGAAACAAGTTAAATATAATCTATCTTTTTGAGGGATATGGAGAGAAAAAACAAAGCATACGTCATAAGCATATAGGCTTATGAAGAAGATTGCAATGCAGGAAGATCATAAATCTGCAGGTATTCAAACTTTGCATCTGATATTTGCCCTGTAGTACTGTGTTGCAGAGGGTTCTTGCCCCATATAATTTGTAGTGCAGGTTCTGGTTGCTCCTCCCCAGATTGGCTATAAGCGTTTTGAGCCATATTACATATCTGATTGACCTTGTCATGTGTCAAAGCCTCCATATTTTTAAATTAGGCACTGCAAGATCGCACTATTGGAGCAACACACAAACTGGAGCCTTAAATCAGTAATATGATCTAATTAGGAATGATGTTTTCATTTCCTGTATTATGAAATTGAGTCATCCAGCTCTTTTTTTTTTTTTTTTTTTTTTTAAGCCATTATACTATATAGTCAGAACATGCTGTTGAATGTGGTTATGTTTTAATAAGGGAGCCTGGGAATTAACTTGCAACTTTACAAGATTTTTTTGATAGTCAGTTTTCAACTGCATTTAGGGAGTAAGACAGAAATGTAGGCTACTGCTTGTGTGCCTGTTTATCACATGGAGAGAGATAAATGTACCAAAAATTTAAGAACAGGTATGTGATGGCGTTCAAAGAAAATGCAGTTTAGCACAAGAAATGCTGAACCTCAATTTTTAGCAGTGACATTTTAATGATAGGAAGCCTGCAAAATTATTTGCCATCAATTGTGAAGGCAATAACAAGCCTTGGTGGTTTTTCACACTCTCTGTGTTAAGTGCTTTCAGAATGACAGCGTAAACTGTGTTAGAGAACTCCAAGGAAGTAAAACTGATTAAAATGTTCATGCTTGAATGGTGCTGATGGAATAGTTCATTTGGACTTTCTCTACCTCCTGCAGCTCAAGCTGAAATATTAAAATTCAGTGGATTTAAATCTCTCTCCCCTCAGCTCAGGAAAAAAACATTACATTTTAATAGGTTTTAAACTCATAATTCATTGGTTTGGAGCAGCACTATTAAATCTATTTAAATATTACTTGTATTACTAAGGAAATGATTTAAATGATTTTGCCTTTGCCATTCTATACATATGAGTGGGGAAAAAAAAGGCTTTGGTTTAATTTTTAAGCATTTTGTTTTATTATGTCAGTTTTATCATCTTCTTTAAAATAAGCAAATGTCAGTTACTGGAAGAAAGGACTCCTTCTACAGTGTGACATATAATTATTAAGCTATAAAGCTCCTTTTTTTTCATACACTACTGTCACAATTCCTACTCTGTGTTTCAGGCTGAAGCACTTGTTTGCCCCATCTTTGAGGGTGTGTATTTGTGTGTGTGTTTTTTTTAATGAGTAGTCCATTTCTACAGGTGTGGAGAACAATGCCTCTTAAAAACACAGTATGTCATCCTTCATACATGCGCTGATGTGCCAGCCTGAGGAAGTAGTGTAGTGCAGATAAGTGCATACAAATGCTAATAAAAACATAGCATCAATGCACTCTGTTATTCCCACGGTGCCCGTGGTCCCAGCTGCTAAATGCTAAGGGCTTTTCTTGTACTGGTTCTTMACATACAGAAGAATTTCTTCCTGTTCATGCAGGGCGGATGCTGTCTGCCTTGCCTGTCTTCATACTCTCTTCTGAGGAATCAAAGATGTTTTGGGAAAACCACAGTAGTTGAAGGGAACAAAGTTGTAGCTGGCGATGCTGGTTGTAACTTGAGAGAGGAAAGCTGAGGATCTGGCCCTGAGGCTTTACCAGSAAAGGAGATGTGCTCTCTCATCTGATGCCAATTGCCTAGGCAGACTGTTAAGTAGATGGAGGTGTAGAAAAAGTTTTTCCCATGTTATTTGTGTATGTTTTAATATCACTTTGTGTGGTAAAGTCATTCCTGCCAGATGTCTGCATTCAAAAATGGGAACTTAGAGAGGATGAAGAGGTGCAGGAAAACTGGTGAAAGTCTTGTAGCATGGGTGCAACAGGCCCTTCTCTCCATCTCTCTCTCTGTGGTA